GGGGGGGAGTATAGTTAAGACCAAATACTTGAGTAAATGGAAAATGTGATATCCGAATACTAGAAAAAGCGCATATTTGATTTTTCGAACACTCGAATAATCGAAAAAATAAATGTATTCGATTATTCAAATGGTCGAATTCCTTGAATTATCGACATTCGAGTATTCGAATTCATAGTTCTGGAACTGAGATTTGAATAATAATCGATCGTTCGAGGATCCGCAAAATTATCGAATATTTGTTCGTTCGAGTATCTGTGATCATCGAATATGGATTGAGTATGTTTGAATGAATATTCGAGTAATTTGAATACTCGAATGTCGATAATTGCACATTTGAATAGTCGAGTATTCGAAAAGACACAATTCTTCCATTATTCGAACATTCGAATATTTGGTCACGCTCAGTTATTCGATGATTCAAATAGACGAACAGGATCCCACTATTCGAATATTCGAATTGAATACATCTTGTTTTAATTATGAACGAATATTCGACATTCGTTTACTTGAAAAATTTACGAATGAACTATAGAAGGGAGTGCTCGGGAAATTGGACGGAGGGTGTAGCCTTGATAAGATAAGGTGTTACCTGTTGTTTGTACTTTTTGCATTTTCAGTTTACTAAGTAAAACATGGTTTTTACTGTGTAAAATGGAAATAGGTTTTTATTATCATATTGAAGTTATATCACATTTTTTTTTATAAATTTTGAAATACCGTCTCGACCTTTCCCTACGTTTACTGTTCAAGCTGTTGTCAATGTTTCTTACGTGCAACTTAGTATCCTTTGTTAAAAAACAGACTTTTCTATGTGCTTGACTTGAACTTTCGCATTTTTTTTTTGATTTTTCTCCTTTTAGCTGCTTCATCCGTCGTTTCCACCATGCCAAGAGTTCAAATAGTCCATCTACAATCGATATTACCCGGAAATGGAGGTGTTCGAATTCTACCGACAACTGGAAATGTTCAATCGGACCCCCTTAGAAAAGTTCAAATTTTACAAACTGGCACGATACCGGAGAGAGATAAACCGCAGAATTCCCAAAAGGGAGTGGAGTTAACGGAGTCGACGAGCAGTAGCTCTGAAAAATATGACAGCAATAGCAGGACTTACAGCAATAGAAACTATAGCTGTCAAATTTGCGATGTAATACGATCCGCACATGAAATTCGACATTCATCTTGTAAACGTCAGCAGAACATCGTGCTATTAGCTTGTCTCCAAGCTCAGAACATCTTAGATATGGACTCAGCGAAGAAGTTGTACAAGGAATTATTGCGTGGTCGTAAACGTATCTGTCATGAGCACTACATGCAAGCGGTGGGTGTTATAGCTCATTTGAACTTTCACCGGCGCGGCATTGGTTGAGAAGTGTTTTAAATTGGCCGAACTCGAACAGGCCAATGGCACGATTCCCTTCTTTTATTATTACTTATTTTTTCGTGCTCAGGCAGCCTTTATTGGTAAAGAAGTGGAGGACATGTGGGGTCAGTTCCCAGGTCTTGGAATTGACGAGGTTCCTTGCAATATAAGGCAAGATCTATTGGCATGTGTCCAGCTTTACGGAGAATACCTTGATGTAGGTTTGATTCCTAATTGTGATTGGAAGAAATCTCTCAAAGTTTGTTTCAGGAGGCAGTTACCTTATC